GCCTGCTCCACTCTACAACTGAGATCAGGATGTCCTCTCAAAATCCAAATGTTTTGGTATATTAGAGTAGTTAAATTGCACCACATTTAATGCTCAAGAACAGCATGTCTTTTTGTGCACCCCATCAGTAAATGTAAATTTGTCTTAATTTATTTGAAATACCACAGGAGATGTTACCAGAAAATGCTGGAAACATGTTCCCAAACTTTGGTTCTTTGCTGTCCTCAACCTGAGATATTTTTGATACTAGAGCTCTGTAACATGTACTGATAACATTACCCGAAAACCTCAGTGCAACACACTTTTCTTTTTTTTTACTCTACACAGGAACCGCATTGCCCTAATTAAAATATAAATTATTGCTGATGCCTGCTTATATAGGAAAATATTTATTTTGTACATACAGACACAAATCAGTGTTTTGAGATGACCGTATCACAAACTGCCATGATCCTGTGTTAGATGGATTCTCACACCAATGGGGCAAAAATTTCTGCTGCTGCTTGAGTAATTTTATCATTTCTGTGTGTTTTGAGTTTGAGTTTCACCTTAATATCTTTCTTATTGTCGTATTTATTTGGGTGTGCTGAGTGCATTTTGAGCCTTCACAGGACAGACCATTATCTCTTTAGTTGGCCAGCTCTGGCTCCATCCTGTCGTTAGCCAGCTAGGCTAGGTGACTCTGAACCTGCACAACAACCTACCAGCGGGGGGCCTGCTGGGATTTGGAGCTTCCCAGCCGCTTGCAGAACCTGCGATCTCTCCCGGGGCGTCATCGAACAGAGGTGTCCGCTCTCCAGGGTGCAGGTTGCGGCTGCCGGGGATGTCGGGCGGCGTGGTGACCCAGTGGTGGAGCTGCGGTTCGGCGGGGGCTCCGGCGCTCCGAACCGGGTAGCCCGCTCCGTACAGCGGGTCATCCCGGCCACGGTACCCGAGCCCGTCGAAGCTGTCCGGCCGCCTGGAGGCCATGTCAGGGTCGGAGCGAGTGAGGGGGGCGACACTGATATCCGGCTAGCAGAGCTCAGGGGAGCGCATCAAAGTGTGCACGGACCGGTTTACTGGAGAACCTGTAACGACCTAATCAACCCGACCCACACCAAAACATCCACCTGCCACCCGGAAACACTTCTTTTTCTATACTTTGTATACCGGCTGACTGCTCGTGCTGCCTCCTACAGGCCATCAGAGAGTGGTGAACCCTAGCTGGGTTATGTCTTTCTGCACGCTCAAACGTTTGTGCTGGTTTGTGTTGCACAAACTTTCGTTCAAGTGACTTCTTTAGTCTCAGCTGACTGCAGGTTTTCACAACCTTATGGAACTGACCTCACAGCCCATTGTTCATTTAGTAGGCTAGTTTCACTAATTGGAAATTATTTCACTTGTAGCACATAAGCACAGTGTGTATAAGGAAAGAACACAAACACACAACAAGAGTTGAGCAGATTTGTGCAAATGTGAAATACCTGCAGTGGTGTCAAAATGGAACCTGAAATTTTCCCTTTAAAAAAAATCCTCAGAGAGCTGCAGGAGCTGTACCGTTGTATCTAAAGCTGACAGATTATCATATCCAGGTAAAATAGTTTGATTAATCTGTAAGTTTTTAGCTAGTTTTATGGTTAATTTCTGAATCATTGGTGATCAAATATACACATTTATTATAGCTAGAAAAACTAAATATATCTTTCAAATTTAAAATAGAGCATTTTCTAATATTCAGTTGATCTTCTTGTGTGTGTGGAAAAATGTCACAAAACTGAAAACAGACTCTTTAATGTTTGAGTTCACAACAAACCTGATTTGCACAGGTAAGGCGTACAACAGTGGAGTCTTTTCACTGTGCGTTAGTATGTTTAATTAAGTGTAAAATTCTGAATGCTTTGATCTCTGAAGATAGCCCATATCGTACCTTAATAGTAAAACTGTTTATGTTGTTCTTTAGCTTTTCCTTAACCAGAGCAGACCTCTGTACTGCAGTGTCCCAGTGCTGGACAGTGTCTTTAACCATGAGGACACCAAGCCTGAATTTCAGCTGAGCTGGTAGTTTCTGGCAGTGCTGCTTAATCCACTGAACCAAAATCGGAAGCATGGATAGGGTGCCCCAATTGAGTCCAGACTGCTCCGCCACAGCCCACTGTGCAGACAGTCAGTCTACCCTCCTCAAGGGCATTTTATCTTGGCACATGGAGTGTACCCATGACTCCAATGTCCATTACCCCTCATCACTCCCTACAAAAGGCAAGTACAAGCTGTGGGAGCCCAGCGCGTCAACAGCCAATATTCCAGGGCACATTCTGTTATGAAGACCAGATTCTGAGCCATCTTCCTGCAAGTGCTGGAGGTCATAACAGCATATGCTTCTTCTGCTTCCGTGCCGGTGACATCATGGCCCCGCAGAATGAGCCTGAGAAATATGCAGGAGTGGTTGAGAGGATGACTGGTTTGGAGGCAGTCAGGGGTTCTCTCTGTCAGAGCAAACTCTCTGCTGTCCTGGAGGAGGTACACCAGAACACGACTACTTTTAACAGGCAAGCTAAAAATTTTAAGTATAGGTTCCTCTTATGTTTTTTTTAGTGCTTTGTTAACCTGTTTTGTTTGTTGAAGAGTGACTAGTATCCACATTTTTTTTGTTTCATCTTAGTGGCAGCCACCGATGGACAATGGAAGGAACCATCCAAAGCACTCTCTACAGACCACCCGACCAGAAAAGACAAGATACGGGTCTCAGGAGCAGTACAACATCCCTCTCTCTGATCTAGCTTCAGCAGAAACTGCCAGAGACTTCCTGTCCAGGCAAACATCGGGCCTGCTGTGCTATTAAAGTTCAAAGAAACAATCCAGGTACAGGTCAGTCAGATTAATCCTGTGGTCTGCACTATAAATACCTGTACATAGTTGTTTTCTTATCCTGTAAATATTCTTGATTTCTTGTATATATTCTCATTTTGTTGTTACCTTTTCATTTTCTTCTATTTTATTAATCAGACATTTAAAATATTCCAAATTATCTTTATGTTATAGATGTAAAAAAAATAAATAAATAAAATATGCTGATGACAGTTATCTATGCATCCATCCAAATTCATATTATTGATAACCAGTGTTGGTCAAGTTACTTGAAAAAAGTAATCAGTAACTAATTACTGATTACTTCCCCCCAAAAGTAATCCAGTTACTTTACTGATTACTTATTTTCAAAAGTAATTAATTACTTAGTTACTTAGTTAAAGGAGCAGGTGGTTACCGTGGCAGTGGCGTGAACTCGCTGATGATGCCCTCGGCTCCGAGGGTAACACCATGAACGATGAATGTGCTGCCCATCCCCTTCCACAGAGCCTTCACACCCTGATCAACACAACATATTAATCACCGACAACATAATAACACAATTTATATCCTGAAGTATAAATGCGTGTGGACAGGCCGACTCAGGTTAGTGGGAGGAAGCCGGAGTATATCAGTAGTAGTCCTCCTTCCTGTGAGGCAACATCACAGTGCCCCCTCCATCATCAATAATTAAGTCTCTATTTTTATTCTTTTAATATTTATCTATGAGTTTTCATATTGTATTTATAATAAATACATTATTCTGTATTATTATTTATTTAGATTATTCTGATCAGTTGTAAACCTCCATATTGTATCTGCATTTACTATTTTGCAATATTTAAACTTTTTAAACTTATTTGTAAATAATGTTAAAATACTTTCATTTTCCATTTTAATATTAATATATTTAACTTTGTATTATTAAAAGAAATATTCTAAATGTCATTATGTCCAAATACATTTAGATTTTCCTATTTGATTAATATTTTTATACTGCTTTTTATACAAATATAATTATCATAATTTATAAGAAACAATCAAACGTATTCAAAATGATCTTTTTACATATATTTTTATTCATCTTTGGGTTTTAGTGTGTCCCGTTACCTGAGCTTTGGTGATGCTGTACATTACAGCGACAGCGCTGAATGGAGTCAGGTGATAACACCGGGCGTGGTAGTTCACCTGATGTAAACAGCCAATCAGAGTGCAGCAACAGAAAGAGGAAAATAAAACATTTAATGTCTCAAAACGCACAAAACTGAAATAAAAAAGTTTCTCCCACGGCGTTAATAAAAGTATTTTAATCCATAGCCATCATTATTTATGGATCATTTATTGATAAGAAGGTGAGGTCATACCTGGCACTGTCTGCGGAACACGATGCAGGGGTGAGAGAGGACGTTCTCTGTGAACAGACTGAGTGCGACACACACACACACACACACACACACACACACACACACACACACGTTTTAGTTAGAAACCCCCTGACTTCTCACACTTCAGCCTGTTTTTGGGATGAAAGTGTCAAAAAGTAAAACATCTCGCTTTTTGGTTGTCACTAATGGCGAGCACTGACACAGTCTCGTCCCTTTTTTGCTCTCATTTTTCCCTGTGATTAGAACCAAAATCACCACCAGCATCTTTGACTCGACAGTGGAGACTTTTGTTGCAGTGAGTCGCTGAAACTAAATGAAGCTTCAGCTTCAGTGGAAACACTGAGAACAGAAAGATGTGTGATTGTTCCCAACCATGGAGTCCAAACAGTTCAGACTGAATAAACTCATTCAAGCTGAATATTGGTCCACATGCAGTGACTCGGTCCGAGCCTCTGCTCATCTTGAAACCATGAGAAACGATTTCCTCACCTGACGAATCCAACCCCGAAGCCAGCGAATCGATTCAGCTGCTCTGCAACGACAAAAGCAAACACGATAAACTCGCACAGTGCAGGACGTCCATAAATAAAATCAATAACGGCTTTATTCACATAAGCTACCAAACAGTCTGCTGTCTAGTTCATTCATCACCGAGGATGATTCCACTGTTTTAATAACTTTTAACTCCAATAAAGTTAGTTAATAAGTAGTAAACTAAACATAGCACAACAAACACAAATTACAGAAAGCTGCCTTTGAGAGTTCAGGCGGTGCTGCAGAATAAAGCTGCTCATACCAGATATTTACTGTCAAGCTCGTTGGAGTTAGACTCTGTTTTGCGTTACTGACTGTATTTCCAGGTGTGTTTGCATGTTTTAACACATCTTTGCATTTTGCGTTTCCCATTTTTCTTGCAAAATTTGAGGAAATGATGGGCGAGTCAGAATTTTACTATATTACTGTATTTACTATTTGTGCATTTTGTTAGCCAACTGGCTAATATAATTAGCCTTCTAGTTAACTAGCCGCTAGCCCAGTCCGTTTATTACATAATTACTCTGAGCTTGATTAGCTTGTGCGCTAGCTTCCGGTTAGCATGCATGCTGACAGGTCATCGGCGCCTATCAGACCATTATCTCTTTAGTTGGCCAGCTCTGGCTCCATCCTGTCGTTAGCCAGCTAGGCTAGGTGACTCTGAACCTGCACAACAACCTACCAGCGGGGGGCCTGCTGGGATTTGGAGCTTCCCAGCCGCTTGCAGAACCTGCGATCTCTCCCGGGGCGTCATCGAACAGAGGTGTCCGCTCTCCAGGGTGCAGGTTGCGGCTGCCGGGGATGTCGGGCGGCGTGGTGACCCAGTGGTGGAGCTGCGGTTCGGCGGGGGCTCCGGCGCTCCGAACCGGGTAGCCCGCTCCGTACAGCGGGTCATCCCGGCCACGGTACCCGAGCCCGTCGAAGCTGTCCGGCCGCCTGGAGGCCATGTCAGGGTCGGAGCGAGTGAGGGGGGCGACACTGATATCCGGCTAGCAGAGCTCAGGGGAGCGCATCAAAGTGTGCACGGACCGGTTTACTGGAGAACCTGTAACGACCTAATCAACCCGACCCACACCAAAACATCCACCTGCCACCCGGAAACACTTCTTTTTCTATACTTTGTATACCGGCTGACTGCTCGTGCTGCCTCCTACAGGCCATCAGAGAGTGGTGAACCCTAGCTGGGTTATGTCTTTCTGCACGCTCAAACGTTTGTGCTGGTTTGTGTTGCACAAACTTTCGTTCAAGTGACTTCTTTAGTCTCAGCTGACTGCAGGTTTTCACAACCTTATGGAACTGACCTCACAGCCCATTGTTCATTTAGTAGGCTAGTTTCACTAATTGGGAATTATTTCACTTGTAGCACATAAGCACAGTGTGTATAAGGAAAGAACACAAACACACAACAAGAGTTGAGCAGATTTGTGAAAATGTGAAATACCTGCAGTGGTGTCAAAATGGAACCTGAAATTTTCCCTTTTAAAAAAGAATCCTCAGAAGCTGCAGGAGCTGTTTTCTGACCTTGTATCTAAAGCTGACAGATATCATATCCATGGCAAAATACTTTGATAATCTGTACAGTTTTTACTAGGTGTTTATGGTAATTCAGAACGAATCATTGGTGACAAATATACCATTTATTATAGATAGAAAAACTAAATATATCTTTCAAATTTAAAATAGAGCATTTTCTAATATTCAGTTGATCTTCTTGTGTGTGTGGAAAAATGTCACAAAACTGAAAACAGACTCTTTAATGTTTGAGTTCACAACAAACCTGATTTGCACAGGTAAGGCGTACAACAGTGGAGTCTTTTCACTGTGCGTTAGTATGTTTAATTAAGTGTAAAATTCTGAATGCTTTGATCTCTGAAGATAGGTATTATTATTCAATGATACTATAAACACATACCTTGTTTTTAATGCTCACAGCTTTGCTCCATATTTAGAGTATGTGGCGCTGTATACTTGACTCACTCCGCAAACAAAACGAAATGTTGGGGCAGCATCGAGGTAAATCCTCTATTGAGCTGCCATGTAACACTAATGTAAAAACAGCTGCAGCAACATTTAGTTTCAAAAAAGAAAATCACATTTGTTAAAAAACCTTTTGATAATTTTGGTTTCTAACATCACTCTTACATTAACAATATATTGTTTTACTATTTTCCTTTTCTTCTTTGTCCAGTCTTTGTTAATGCCTGATTTTGTTCACCTGATCCTTATTAATTTGGTTCTCTCTGAGCATTTGCTGTCTGTAAACTTGGTCTTTCTCTAATTGTTACATACCCTATTTTTTTTTTTAAATCAAAAGGCTGTCAGAATCCCCCCTTTTTTCTTTTCTTATATTCGTTTTGCTTTGTCTTCAACTACATCTGAGATATTTCAATTTATTTACAATTTTTCTGTGAAGAACTCTGTTGAAAACATCTTAAATAAATCCAACCAGCACAAACCCGTCTTTTGGTATTAAAAGATTTATTTGTTTTTTTGCTAAAAAAAAAAAAAAGAAGAAGAAGCCCGGGGTCAATATTTCCAAATAAAAGGTGTGGTTACACTCATTTTTTACGTTATTGGATATGTAGGTGTTTCCCTCAAAATCCAAATGTTTTGGTATATTAGAGTAGTTAAATTGCACCACATTTAATGCTCAAGAACAGCATGTCTTTTTGTGCACCCCATCAGTAAATGTAAATTTGTCTTAATTTATTTGAAATACCACAGGAGATGTTACCAGAAAATGCTGGAAACATGTTCCCAAACTTTGGTTCTTTGCTGTCCTCAACCTGAGATATTTTTGATACTAGAGCTCTGTAACATGTACTGATAACATTACCCGAAAACCTCAGTGCAACACACTTTTCTTTTTTTTTACTCTACACAGGAACCGCATTGCCCTAATTAAAATATAAATTATTGCTGATGCCTGCTTATATAGGAAAATATTTATTTTGTACACACAGACACAAATCAGTGTTTTGAGATGACCGTATCACAAACTGCCATGATCCTGTGTTAGATGGATTCTCACACCAATGGGGCAAAAATTTCTGCTGCTGCTTGAGTAATTTTATCATTTCTGTGTGTTTTGAGTTTGAGTTTCACCTTAATATCTTTCTTATTGTCGTATTTATTTGGGTGTGCTGAGTGCATTTTGAGCCTTCACAGGAGAGCACGGTCCATTACAAGAAGCTGTTAAGCAAAGTAACAGGTGGTTTCTGGCTGTATGTTGACTTTTTTTAAAGCAGACACGTCTGGATTGTGTGTGTGAGGAAAAACACTCTCTAAAGGTTTGCTTTAACGACATTAAGTGCTGCTGCAGCACGAGCCTGTGAAGGTGAGTAACTGAAGACTGAAGTCTGTTAGGAGGCACAGAAGAGAGGGAGCCCAGAGGCCAGGACGTGGACGTGGACCTAAACACAGATTTGATCATAGGAAACAGCAGTAAGGTAAACAAGGTAAACGTAGTTTAGAAACAACGAACACGAAGCAGAGGCGGCTTGTAACTAACGTGAGGTTAGCTGACGAACGGAGAAGACAGTGAGGGCTCCGACCTGGTCTAGATTTTACTCAGGTTCAGTGATGATTTCTTTGCTTTGAACTGATTCCAGCTCTGTTTAATTACAACTATTTAAATGTTGAAGATGGATTTTAACTTTTACAGCCAAGGACAACAAAAGACTAGACTGACTTACAAAAAGTGATGCAGACATTTATTAGCAGTACACAAACTCATGCTACACAATCTGTAGTGAGAGTACCAACAGGAAGAGGCGTAGACGAGACTCCCCCATCTGAAATTGGAGGTCATTCAGCTGTAATCAACCAGTAGGTCCTGCACCATTAACTGTTACGGCCCTAGCAACACAGTAACACAACTGTTGGTTTATAATCTACAGTAATACACAGTGTATTTGTTGTCAGTCAGCTCAGTGTCTGTAAGATCTAACGTAGATTAGTTTAGCATGTTCTGTCTGAGAGATTTCTAAAAAATTCAAACGTACAGCTTGCTATCACTTCCAACATAAATGAAGACAGAAAACTAAACAGCAGTGACGTTTGTAGGGTTACTGAAGTTGGACTAGCTGGTATATAATGATGTGCTATGTGATCGCTAGCGACACAGCTATGTTAGCATAACATAAACACAGTGAAGCTGGAGGATGAACGCTAACCTTTTTCAACTTAGAAAAGTTAACGTGAAGGTTCCCGATGGTTAGGGACAAATGCAATCGCATGGCAGGATGCTGTAAACGGACCAAACTTCAGTCAGGAGAACAACTGAGATAATCCATCCACAATACGAGGTTAGTCATTAATATACTGCAACAACATGGGAATAGAGCAGCTGCCAGAGAATTCAACATTAATGAATCAATGGTACAGAAGTGGAGGAAGCAAGAAGAATGAGTTGAATAAAGTTTGACTTATCTGACTGTTTTGTTTTGCTTATTGCGCCTTTTAATTCAGTGCACCTTGTGGTCCGAAAAATACAGTAATGAAAACCCAAAGAAAGTACTGCAGGTATAAACACTGAGGATAATAAGAGGCATGTAAAAATCAAACCAAATACTGAGCGTTCAGTCAAGTCTTCAATGTCAACACTGGAAACGGCACCAGGAGGCTTGCACTTCATCCTGTTGTTGCTGCTGAG